TGTTCGAAATGCCGTTTGGGTCTGGAGTCCGCCAATGTGATGATTGGGTCCTGTTATCCTGCTGTGTTTTGTAAGGCTGGGTCTAGAGCTCTTTGAAGTTGTTTGCATGATGTTTAATTCTCACGAATAGTGCATGATATACAAATACTTAATGGTTATGATGATATTGATGACAACAATTGTTGTTATTTATTTTTTTTTTTTTTCGCATCATAAGGGTGGAAAGCCGACGGGATTTATTGCGGGCGAGCAACAGCAGGCCCGCGGACGTATTTTTGAAGGGTGGTCACCGGCATTTTCTAAATTTGTATATGAAGGTTTTAGTAAAATCTGTCCACATTCTTGGAATGTTTTTGTACCCACTCAAAGGCTAGGACTCTAATTAAAACCACACTTTTAAAATGGCCGATTGTCCTTTTGAATAAAATGGTCAAATCAAATCTGTGTCTGGTCAACTGGTGTTGTTTAATTCAATTTCCACGTTCATGATCCGGTGACAATTTCCTCTGGAACAAAAAGAGCTAAATCTCTTATTCACGCTTGGATGATCTACTATTTACTTATTATAAAAGCCGTTCTCAACATCAGTCATATAAGGTAAACTCAAATGCTCGCCCGCACTTCTTAACCATTGGTTACTGCTAGTGGTACTTACATAAATGATCTTGAAACTACAGTCTTCAACTCTTACTTTCTCCACAAAGAGTAAGCGAAACAAACGAGGGCGCTAAAAAATCGGTTCCCTCTACTCTCACAGCCTAGCTCTATATTATATTCGGTAAATTTTCAGTGAACTTTTAGTTGGGAGGCAGAACAGCCATACAGATCCACTCGTATGGGTATATGGTTATGCCACGTCAACACGACAACCGCGCGTGCGGAAGAATATTTCGGTGTCATCTACGGCAAAAGGCCGAAACCACGAGTGGCGAAGCCTCGAGCAAAACCTCAAGTTATAGCGTAGTCACAATTATGACTTGACCGTAACCGGAAATCGCGCATGAAAGGTTTCTTGCAACCCATCCTCCGGTATGAATATTCTAATTACAAAGCAACTTCTTGAAAAGTGCTTTCTTGGTTTATACGGACCCGGAGCGTACGATCCGTCAACTGCTCTTAATTAACGCAGGGGCATCCAACGAGAATATAGTGCAAAACCACTTAAACATAGCATTGTTGAATGTATTTTAGTATTTAAATGGTAGATATATTTTTATCCCCTAAAAATTTTAATCTGTTCGGATTTCCTAGCTGAAAGTCTATAGTGATCCGAAAATTATAGTGATCAAGACTTACCTTTTCGAAAATTTCAGCCAGAAAAAAGGCTCCCGAAAATTCTAGGTGACCTTTTGAGGATAAAAATCCCTTAAAGAAGGGTAATCATACCATTTTTTAGATGTTCGAAAATCCTAGAAGAGGCAGGCAGGCAAGAAATTTTACAAGAAATGTTCCGAAAATTCTAGATCTCAAATCGTCTTCCGAACAGTTATTTTCCAAAAATTGACGTTGGGTGCCCCTGATTAACGGTCCGTAATGGTGCGGTAGTATTGGACATGACTAGAGGAAGCTCTTTTGCCACAGGATGATAGATTCCATAAAAGTTTTGCTTCATAATGTTAGGGTTACAGAATCGGAAAGAAAAGAAAACAGAAATGTCACATTTCCAAGTTTTTTTTTTTAATTACTGTGCAACAATACAAGCCATGTTTAAATTATAACAACAGTTTAAACTATCCTTTAGATTCTTATGTGAGGTTAATGTTATGATGCTGTAAAACTTGTCGAATTTCTAATCATGCATTTTTCAAGGCTAGAATGTTCGCGTCGCTTTTGACCGCGATTACTCGTATTAAAAAAATTTATCACTTGTTTGAAATACCACGTAGCATGGCTTTTAACCCAACAATCCTAAATTAAAGCGCTTGCAAAAAAGATGCCGAGCATCTTGAGTAAAGTCTATTATAACAGTTTTGCGATGTTAGAGGAAGGGAGATAAAAAAAAATAAGCGAAAGTCTTATTAGCATTATTATAACAATTAAATCGCACTAAAATAAAGAATAGATTCAATTTTGTCTTCCTTTATTCGCTCAAACAGACAAGTATAGAATCGTCAGTTTGATCACCATACATACTTTTTGTTTCCTTCCAACAATTGCAACCCGGGGTCATTTCAGACCAACTCTTGCCAATACAGTAGTTCAAGTCCAGCAACCACACTAAGCGGTCATTGATAGACTTGATCAGTTCGTGATTCGTGACAGACTCTAAAAGGTAACGTGATTCGTGAATGTACCGAAATTTAACCCGTGATTCGTGATCCAGACCCCGCTTCCATTCCAGACCCTATTATAATTCTTTCTGGGGCCAGGAAACTTAGCGGAGCTTAACTTGCTCAACCTGTTTTGTCATACCATTTGCTCAGTGCCCTAATGAAAAACACTACACTTATCCATTGTTATCTATTGTGATTTACGGTATTAATAACTGATGCACATGTTAAGCAAAGATATATATATAGTCCTCTTTGCTACGATTGCGTCTGCAGAACTAAAAAATTTATTTACTTTTATTTAAACGAGGCATCGGTGGCCAGTTATCATAAAGACAAGAGTCGACTGCCAAAATTGCTAAGTTAACATGATCTTCAAAGGACTTTAAGCTTTTTAGAGTGAACTTGGTACTACCGTCTCACTGTACTAGGATGTAACCTAGTCCCTTTGTATGCTTTCCGGTTTCAGCATTCTCATTCCCACATGTATTGCTGTCATCATGGAGCCCTCCAGTACCAAACCCAATTCTGGAGTCACATTGACTACAAACGTTTATTTCATTACCAATGATACCGATTCTTGCTTTAGCCAGGTCTCTACCTAAAGACTGCTCGTCACTCTTGGCATTAAATCCTTCCCTGTTACAACCAATCTGCAAGGAGGCCTCAGAGCCAATCAGCGACTTCCACGTGTCACGACCCAGTGAGGTGCTGCGGTATAGCCCATCAGCGATCAGAGAGTACAAGGAGTTCGCCTGCTTGTTGATGACAATAAACTTGATCTGGTTGTTGATCTTTATACCGAGGCAGATCTTGGAAAAGGATGCGTTCCAGTAGGAGGGAAGTTTAGTCTCCTGTGAGTCAAACCCAGTCCTCCCTCCGTCAAGTTTAAAGGCTTCTTTGTTTCTCCAGAGACTGGAGTCGTAGTGAAACGTTTGCTGTGATAAAATTTATGACAAAAAAACAGTCTCTATCATAGGTAAAGATTGATTAGATTTAAGCATGATTTGTTAATTCGCCTATCCTCGTTCCCAGGCTCCACACCTACTCTTCCCCTGGTGGGAGTACGAGAGGACCCTGGGAACGAGGTTGTCTTCTGGATAGGAGAAATAGAGTGACACTGCTTTTAATCATATTATTATTATTATTCTGCTGTGGTTTGTCTAATAATCACATGATCAGATTTCTTCAGATCGAACGTTAAATCAAAAGGAGTCATCGTTTGAGGCTCTTGCTGTGTGAAATTTTGGGTTACTCACATACTAGAAAGAATGGGGCGAGAGATTTTCAAATACAGTCGAACCCCCGCATGCGACCACCTTCCCAAAACACCAAAAATGTCCTCAGTCAAAGCCTCATACTGGAACCTCTGGTAAACGACCTCCTCCCGCAAGCGACCCCGACCACTATTTCGGCTGACAGTTTTAGAATTTTCTATTGTTTTCAACCTCCGGTAAGCGACCACTTGACACATGGTCTTACCAAACAGTGAAGTACATCACGGTAAAAATGGACAAAAAGCATTTATTCTTTAGCTGTCATAATGTCTACACATCTATGACTGTGTTTAGTAGTTCGATTTATAACTACAATATTAACCATTACCCTTGAGAAAAAGACTCAGATTTCTAGGTTTCAGTTTAAGAAGTTAAGTTTTTGTTTGTCAGACGTTTCAGGGACATTTCTGTACAAGAAGTCACGTACACAAGTAAAATTTTCTAACCCCAAATTTATAACGCGCGTTATCTAATTAAGTGCACTTCCGCAAATGAACTGTCACATAGAATAGCTAAATGATCTTGTCAATAAAACCTATTAGCTAGTAATTGGCAGGGGAAAGTAAACTTTCATTATTTTTTTTATAATAAATACACCACTCCATTCTAGGTTGACTCTCGTAAGCGACCACCAAGCCTGTGCATTTTGGGTGGTCACTTACGGGAGGTTCGATTGTATGATAAGGTCGAGCCTGCTGTAAATTTCACTTTAATTTGCTGAACGTTCTGAAAGTAGGATCCAACCCTGTTGAAAGTTTATAATTTTATACAACAAATTGTGTCTAGAAAATGAAACTGGCGTTTTTGGGGACGCCATTTGGCAACAATGTTGTCCTTGGGCACGAGCTTTTCTTAACAGAAAAAAGCTCATTATAATTTGAGAAAAGAAGAAAGACACAGTGACTCCCATCATCTACTGAGTGTAAGCCGGACACAGGAGGTCAGTGCCCTTCGGGGAAGGTTCAACTGTACTCAGCGACGTGAATCTGCAAACAGGGGAGTGTACGTAACTACGTCGGTTTTACATGATAATCGACTCCCTAAACTTTGTTCATTTCCGCTCACTCGTCTAGTAAAGTGAATACTAAGAAATATTCGAGAGATAAAGTGTAAAGCATGCTTTTTCATTCATCCGTTTTCCCATTCGAAATGCGTAGTTTATTGTTTTTCTTTAATAGCCAAGATGCTCTGTCACATTTTTCGGGATAATTGTAGCCTGCGAATACAGCCGTTTCTCCTTGCTCTTCATCGCTAGGGACGTTTCGCCAGGTAGAGCGTCTGCGCCTCAGCGACAGAAATTCCATACTGATGACGTAAATCAATGTTTACATGATGTAGTCAGTGGGTACCAAGTGAATTTATGTTTCTCCTGGTCGGTTATGGTAAAGTTTTGTGTTCTATCGCGAATGAGCTCCAGCAAAACTCAGATGCTTTTCTAGAGAAGAATATATTCCAGGAATATTGACAGTTTTTTGAAGTGGCGGATACACCCACGTTTACAACCCCGTTTACATTTGGCCTTTGTGGCTTTTTGTCTTTGTCTGTCATTCGAAAACAATATGTAAAACAATGTAACTACTATGTCGACTAATCAGAGCTCCTGACCAGAATCGGGACAGTTTTTACGTCATCAGCATGGAATTTCTGTCGCTGAGGCGCAGACGTTCCTCCTGGCGAAACATCCTCAACGGCGAGGAACAAGGAGAAATGGCTGTATTCGCAGGTTAGGATAATGGAAAATTACCGCTGACATAAGCAAACCTGTATTTAATTATAATACATTTTTTTCACTCTCGTTGCCGAATACACATGTTTTACCTTGCTGCCGTCCATCTTCATGACCGGTGTCCATCCTCCATCTCCGCACCCAAAATTGCCAAAGTGACAGAGAACTGAAACTAGTTTGGAGTCAAGGAGAAGAGTGACCAACTGAGTCACGTTCAACCTGTACAAAATGAAATCTCATTTTAATTTTGCCACGGATCTTAACAGTTGGAGAAACAAATGGAACGTGCCTTAACTGGTTGTTAAAAAAACGTTCGCTTTTTCATCGAATTCAATACAGATTGAGTCAAATCTAAATTTCTTGTCAGGTTCCTCATCACGTTACTGGGAGTTATTTTACAATAACTTTGTGGACCTTTTAGCGTTTTTCACGAAAGTTGAAAATGCAAAATGTCAGGCCACTCAAATTAGTTACCAGCATGTCTCAAAATATTCAGTTATGACGTCATGTTTGCTGACGTCATTCTTACGTAAATTTTATAATTTTTAAATCTCCCAAATGTTTTGGTTTTTAACTAATTTTTTTTTTGGCCGGGGGGGGGAGGCCGGCAACGATTGAAGAGAATCATACCGTGAAATTCCGAAAATAAGCCCCTCCATGTATAAGCCCCTCCAAATATAAGGCCCCCAAACTGGTAACGCAAAAAAACCCCCGTTAAATCGCCTCCCAAATATAAGTCCCCTGGGGGCTTGTACTTGGAAAATTGCTCTCAAATACAAAGTAAAACAAAGCAAAAACGGTAAATTTACTTCCAACTATGAGGCTAACCCAATCGGTTTTGAAACGCAAATTTCCCTCCGTAGATAAGACCCCCCGAATATAAGCCCCTCCAAAAATAAGCCCGTCAAAAAGGGCCTTTGAAAAATATTAGCCCCAGGGCTTGTTTTCGGAATTTTACGGTATCTACTTAATTAAACCATGGCCGCCCTCGATTTAAAGCCGCAGATAGAAGCAAACATGATTACTAGTAAATGCTGTCCTCGAATAAAAACAATATTTACAAATGATTTATTGCAATTCTTGCCAGTAATTTTGGTATAAAAGCTGCCCTTATATCATCGTCCCATCGGAACGCCAGAAATATAAAAAAAAATCCTGCAGGTTGGCACTAGACTGCTTGCAGTCCGCCTTTTCTCTTAAAATCCGTATAGTTCTTATGTCATCCAGCGCGATTGCTAACCACGACTTTATTACTACAATAAGGGATTGAGACAAGTTATTCGGGTTTAATTGATTAATTAAATCACCTCGACAGCTTCTTTGTCCCCAGACAAAACAAAAGAGTCAGCAGTCTCTTATTTTTTCTTCTTGGGCTTATGCCCTCGTTTCTCGCTGCTCGCGTGCTTAGGTTTCGCGTGCAGTAACTTTGCAAAAAATAATAAGAGATTGTTCGCAGTCTAGGTTGGCACTATGGATTTTTTTACGGGTAGTCCCCGTTTTGGAATAAGCAGCATTTTGGCATGAGGTAAAAGTCGTGTAGGCCTACCACCCCCTTCTATTGCTATGGATTTTTTTACGGGGAGGCCCCGTTTTACCTTATGAAAATCAACACACGCACTAAAAAGAACCAAACACACAGTAGAAAGTTCAACATTGCGCACCTAAGTTTTTAGAGGGAGTGTACGGAAACTCTGTGCGCATTTATTAACCTGAGTCTTCGAACTCTTCCATAAAATAAAGTGCTGAAATTTTCTCTAAATGCTTTCCAAAAAAACACACCTTTAGCTTGAAGCAGAAGAGAATCGAAATACACAATCCGTAAGTTGGTTACGTTCAGTAGCCAATAGGAAAACAAAAATTCGATCCGCCACGTGGGTATTTATGTTCAAGTTCAAAACACAATAGGCAGAACGGCTGTACCGTTCTCGCTACGACAAAAATACAACTAAAGTTGCTCTTGTAAAAGCAACTCAACCCTGCAACTCAGATGTTGTTTATTCAAAATATCCCAACAAATTCCATAGTTTTTTTTTTTGACGTTACACTTAAGGACTCTACATATATATGGGGCGAACGAAACGAAAATGGTGACATGATGTTGTTTTTCTCATCTGCCGGCAAAGTACAAGAAAGGCGAGATGCAGTTCACGCCTCTATTTTACCTGCGAACTATCTTTAAGACTTGGACTAGTTGTTTTTGACAACTACTCAGAAGGTGTAAGCCATCCTGTAATTTTGCATGCTTATTGATGCTCACATATTTTCTCCAACCCGTTTAAAACGGACACGGCGGTTAATACGACAAACGGACACTTTTCTATGACTCATTAAGTCAGAGAAGCTCATTTATCGTCAACCCAAGCGTTATGGACACTGGTGACCACTGGCCAACTCGCCTCACACTGTCTATTTCCTTGTCACAATCATGCACTAATTGCATACAATGAACCCTGTTCAAATAATTACAGATTTCTGTGGGTTAACACGATTTTATTACTAAAAACAGGGGCGTAGCGTGGACATTTTGACAAGCACGTACACGGGTCCATATGGTTTTAAAAACCTCGTACAAAATAACGTTTTTGCTTTCCTTTAATCCATAACTACCAGCTTACAGGCTTATTTACAATAAAACGTGATTTCAAAAAAAAGCTTCTAAAACGTCTTCGATGAGCTGGTACAGGAATATTTAACAGCACAAAGCGAGGCGCATTTTTTGTAAAAAATTTTCACTGGAAACAAATACTACGTCTGTTCGCTAGGAGTAAATTTCTTGCAAAATTCTTGTTGATACCGCGCCAAACGTGCACCTGCTTACGTGGATTATCATCGGCATGGTTTGGTCCATGACTTTCCAGTTGAGGACATCAAAGTAGTCTTTGATAGACTTTTTCGACATTCATGGGGAGAGAGAGAAAACTAAAAAAATGAAAAAGCACTTGAATAGGAAAACCTTTCAGATAAATCTTAAAAGGAATGATTGGTCAGTCAGGGTCGATTTTCAGTTTCCGATTTTCGTGAATAAGCAATATATTGTGGGATCGCCTGAAGGCAAAATTTATTGAAGAATGTTTCGAATTTATTACATTCCACTACTCAAACTATTGTGTTTACGTGTATTAAAAGACGATGCTGAATAACAGGGAGACAGACAGGAAAAAATCTGCACAATACATGTACAAAGTCAAGTCACGTCGACACTCAGAAAACCTTTAAAAAAAATCTTATCAATTTCTCAAGTACGCGCATGCGTATTTGCGTAAAGGACGCTACGCCCGTGAAAAACAAAAATAAATATGCAAAATAGCGTGACAAGTTTGATTTTGATTAGGCTGCAGTCTTTCTTCCCATGTTTGACCCTTGTATGTAAGCCCTTTTTAAAATGCCTGAACCCCTCGTTCAAGAGATGAATGGAATGGCCGATATAGGAAAAAAGTACCTTTTCTGTCAAAAATGATGTGTAAAAAGGTAACACGTTCCCCCAAATGAGTTGGACGTCGAGGCTGAGCCTCCCCGTATGGAAATTTATTGAGTATCCCCTGGGCGAGTTGACGATAATTGATATGAGGGTTTGTGACTCGGGACACAGAAAAGTGTTTGTTTTCCGTATTAGCCAAGCTAACTTATGAGCAAATATGTGAACTTTTCGTCGGTACAAACGAACCGTTCGTTTTATACGGGTGTTCGTACTGAAGCGGAAGGGCGGGGTTCCACTGCATTTCATCAACAACTTTTTTACTGGAGGGCCTTCAGTGGATACTGGTGTTCATAGTTGATGGTTTATACTATCTGAATAATACGAACTCAGGCATTTGTTTTAAAAGATTCAACAGATTTTGCGTCGATTTAGGCTTCTAATAAAATTAAGATTCCAGGGTGGAGAACAAAGGCTGAAATAGAGTCCATCAGCCACGATACAAGTGATACAAGTGATATCGACATTCACTGCAACGCAAATTGTGTCTCTATTTTTGAGGATTAACGAATGATTTTTGGCTGTTCTGTGGCTCATAATTGCGGTTAACTGCACAGTACTGACAACTCCGAATGTTCCCCCGAACTTACTGACCATATAATCCTAATTAAATTACTATGCATTGGTTTACTCACTTTTCTGCGAGCTGATTATAAACGTCTTGGCATGACTTTGCAACTGAAAAAAAAAGATTGAAGTAGTTAACGTATTTAACTCAACTTATTTCTCTCACTTTATCACGGACGGATAGGTAAGGGGAAGACAGGAAAAGAAAATCCAAATAAGATTAGCAGAGTTACACCTAAACTACCCGTAACTGCCCGTGTCGGCCCACGCTCCTCGCACCACTTGTGACGTCATCAATTTTAATGGTCATTGGCCAATTTAACCACCTGCATGCAGACGTCTTCTATTTCTGTTGTTGCACGCATGCAACAAACGGGATAGAAAACGTCTACACGAAGGTTATACCCAACTTTGACGCGAGACTTGTGTGCAGGAGGAATATTTTTGCGCCGAAATTAAGCCAAGTGAATGGCCAGCCAACAAAGAAAAAATGGTTGGGGGTAGGGGGACGAGAGAGGGAAAAAGAAGCGGAAAGGGGGGAAAGCGAAAGATGAAGTTCAATATTTTTTAAAAAAATAAAAGTTTTAAAATTTTGTCTTAACTTTGCTTGTTTGTATCTGACGAATTCGTTCCCAGGGGCAAATGCGTTGAGCAAATCATTTTTAGAGAGATCCACTTCTGACAATTAATGACCGTCATGAAACAAGTTTTAATCTTCCCAATTTACCAAATCAGGTGAATAAGACGCCAAAGGGCGACTTCTGAGTTTTTTTGTACACTTGACAATAAATATACGGCTTCTCACGCCTGCGGCATCGACGTTTAAGGAGACAGTGTCAGTTTTAGTAAAAGCCCGCATCTAAGAATCTGCATTTTCCCAAGCTAGCCTAAACAGGTTCTTACATATGATAATTAGCACAAATTTAGGCTATATTTCGGTTCTCTTAAACAGGTTCTTATTTTCTGAAGAAAAAATACATTGAAGCGAAAATTAAGCTATTTAGTGGTATTCAGCTAATTCCTTAGGTTAAACCTGTATACCATTACAATTGCAGGTGGAGTAATAAGGCAACTGGTATGTCTCCAAAAAGGATCCTGAATGTTGAGTTATAGAATTTGCCCAAGTATACCAATTTTTGAAAAAGATTTTAGGAAATAAAAACCTGTTTCAAATTTTAGGCTGAACAGGTTCTTGTATAGAGGGGGCCTAACTATAACAAATTTCAGCCTAACAGGTTCTCAAAAACCAGGTTATTAGTCACGCGTTTTGTTTTTGTATTTAGACCAAACTAACTAAACTAAGATAAAAATATGGTTTATAAGGACTTAGCCGACTTTGCATAAAGGTTCTGTCTTTGACCCCATTCGGACCGGGCTTTTTTTTGCTTCCTGCGACTGAAGGGGACTTAGGAGGACCCCCTCGAGAACTTCAAAAAACCTCAGTCTATGGCCACTAAAATTACACACAACAATTTCCTCATCATTTCCAGTTGATTGACACAATGACGTAATCTGACGCCATTTCTGGTGCAATATAACAATTCAATCAGTAAAAATAGAAACAAAACCTATATTTTGGAGAAATGCAAATTTTGAAGAACCAGGCTGTCAAATCTCGGTTGCCATGGTAACATCAATGTTGACCTACCCGTCACAATGACTTAAAAATGTTTCCTGATAAATTTAAGGAGAAGCTGCAAAGTTTGGTGGTCCTAGCTTGAACGTCTTTCAAGTTATTCAACTTTTTTTCCAAGGCTGCCCCGGTCTGAATTGAGTTAAGCACGTCAATTACCTTTTTCGCAAAATTCTCCGAAAAAACCTGCTTCGCAACGGCAGTCAAACGAGTGATACTTGTAGTTCGCTACACAGGTACCTCCGTTCTGGCAAGGTGATGACATACATGGAGTCTGAAATAATTATAAAAAATTTTGATGTCAACTGCCATTTTATTAAGGTAATTTTGTTCCGCGTGAAAGTGTTGAAGTAAGAAAATATTAAGGAGAATTAAAAGTGGCATTCGAATGAGTAATTCCGACGTGTTATGGTGACAGTCACTTTTACGCCGGTTCGTGTTTAATTTAGTGACACGTTATTTAAAAATCGCATAGATTGGGATATAAAAAGATATCTTACTTTAAACTCTATACAAAGAAATAACCTCACCTTGATGGAAAAGTGATGAAAACTCTCGTTCCTTTTATATTCCTCAGGATTGCTGAACTTTTCTGAGGACAACAACTCACACCGCAACTTTCCATCTGCTCCTTTGTAAGCTGCCAGGTTGAAGGACAAACAGGAAGGATTGCCGAGGCATTCAAAGGTGCAGTCAAGGCTGTCATACACTGTGAATGTTCCAACTGTAGGAACGTTTAAGTAATGGTACTCGTCCTTTATAAAAACATCTTGACGAAGACTGTGATGATACATGGTGGTAAACTCTGAAGAGAAAGAGAGAGGGGTTTAATATAAGTTTTTAGAATGCATGGGTCGTGCATATAAGAAATCTGTTAATTTAGGGAGTTCCAGGCTTTATGAATGGTTTTTAAAAGGGACCCGTTAAGTAAACTGGAAGTAAAAAAAGTCAGCTAAAGTAAAGCCTAGAGGTCAGGGGAAGAAAAATGTGGAAATATCCTCTTCATCGAATTAGGGATTTTTCTGGCAGTTCTACAGCTATTTAACATTTATGACTTTTAAAGCCATGCAGTTCTTTAAATCATACTTTTTGTGAGCTTTAAAACTGAATAAGACTTATTACGTTTGAAGCAGCCACTCGACGACGGCGGCAACGATCGAAGGTCTGAAAACATCTTTTTTAATGAAAACATAACTTACAGCTCCGCACGTACATCACACTTTGGGGCACACTTCTTAATCTGAAGTCCAATGCACGGCTTCGACGCGAAGCCGTTCCTAATACAACATTTTGTGGAGGACGTGAATTCACACATGACTTCGAATTTTCCTTAATTAATAGTCTTTCCACAAAAACTCGGATACAGTCCTTAAGAATCCATCTCCAGGAAAATTCAAGCATATCGCGATAGAGTATAAAAGAACGCAAAACTAGTATAATTCGTAATATTCGCTTTTGTCCTAGTTGCTAAAGCTCGCTCTCCCGTAAAACAGCAGGAACTGTTATACATTTTTCTAACATGCCGGCCGCAATTTCTCAGCGATTTTTTAAGTAGCCAAGCGAAACCGAAAAAGAGCCAAGTTAATTAGTGACAAAATACTATCCGCAGGCGCTGTTTTACATGCAAATCGTTATAATGAGAAAACTGGTTCGTCTCCATCTTTCCACTAAACTATACTAAGCAAAAAAGGTTATTCCCATGACCAATTTTACTCGACTATCAATAAAATAAAGCGAAGAAAAACCAACCTTCCAGTTGAGCAAAGACTGCATTGGGTATGAAAGAAAACAACGGAAGGAGGCAGAAGGATAAGGAGAACATCTGCGATTGGTGAAACTGTTGGCAAACTTCGTAAAATCAGTGGATGAACTTGACAAACACTGCCAAAAACAATGATTTGTAAAGTGATAGCCGTTCTAAAAAACCATCAGTTTATATGCAATATTAAGTGTTTTTTATTTATGACTCTCTTTGTCCGGTACGTCTGTTCAGTCAGGCTGGGCCAATTAATGACAAGTCTTGAAACCTCAACCAATGCACTGTTTACGCCAACGTCACGAACAAACAAGATAAAAAAAGAAAAGTCATCTGGATATTTCCCCCTTAAAAGAAACGTTACCAAAATTATAATCTCTTTTTTTAGCTCCAAGGCTCTCTGGCATTGAAAATATCTTAGTTTTCTGCACTGCAAATAAAATATGGCTTTATATCAAACTACGTCTTCGTTAATAAGGGAATATTAATTCAATTGTCTCGAGCGTCAACTTAGAAGTTTATTTTTCTTTAGTTAATTGTGAACATACAACATAAAAAGCATAAAACTAAGACGAGCTTACTAAATTATTTTTAGTGTGATTTGGGGTAGGAGGAAAATTACATTTTAGAAAAGACTTCATGTTAAGTCTTTTCATAAATGCCTTATTCTACCATCGATGACGACACCGGTCTGAATGAAAGCGGTAACCAATCAGTAGCCATCGCAAATTCGTTTTCTGTGTGTCCAAAAATCTTATTTCCAAGATTGCTTTTCTTTTGAAAAAGAATTAACATGGAATCCTCTCTATTCCTTTTGACAACCGAAAAAATTATAGGTTCCCATTAACTTTAAAAATGTTTTTGAAAATGTTGTTTCAGCGCTAGGGAGTGTTTAATGCAGTTTTTCGACCAATGTAGTTAAATTTTTAAATTATGCTTCTATTAGTCTTTATAAACAGTATCTTTTTGACGACTTGCCAAATAAGAAGAATATACTGTTCAATAAGGTTTTAGAGACTACGTGAGTTTTTTCGATCATTAGTGCTGTTAAGTTATGTTTAGTTTATAGTCTTAAATATTTAATTACGACTGTTGCGTAAATTCATGCAACTTAGATAGCTTTCGTCAATTTGTTCAAGTTACTCCTTTGGGCCAACACTAAATTTCATTTCAAAGAAAGTGGATGGAATGTACTGTCGCACTTTGTAATAATCGTCGCACTTTGTAATAAACTTGAAATAGATGGTCGGAGGACAAGTAAACCCAGTAATTAGTGTCATCATGGACAACAACAACAACTACAATAAAAATGATAATAATAATAATAATAATAATAATAATAATAATAAAGTAAAAACTTGCAAGAGGTGACAGGCCGCACATCTTCACCGGCGTGAAACCTTTCAAAACCTTTTACATATTGCTCCATTGAGGAGAACTCTTTCAGGGATCTTATGGTTTAAAATTTGAACCATGATATAGCTTATATATAACGGACCAAGATACGGCTCGGTACAGTTTATGTTCAGCAAGGGAAAATTGTGTAAGTTGAGCAAAACCTTTAAAATGTACAACAGACAATTTGTTCAGTTCGCGCGTATTCATGTTGAATTTGTGGCCCGTTTATGAGATTTGTCTACTCAAAAATATAATAATTTTCCCATAGCTGCTGTAATCTTAGGGTATCTGCTTTTAATATCTCCGTAAAGTTTAGGTTTACGCATCCGCGGAGACCCAGGGGCAGTTAGTCGGGTCGATAAAATGTCTGTGGTGAAAGTTTACTGTAAGATCGAGACGAGCCCCTGGGCACTTACTCTTACCGAACCAGTTCCAGAAGCGTTTGAATTGCCTGCTTCTGATTGGCCAGAAAAAATTTTTTCTGGCCAATCAGCGAAGAGAAGCTGCTGGGTGACTCTCGTGTTTTCTTACTCGACGTAGTTTTCTCATCAATCGCCATAGTCGCGTAGAGCGTTCAACGGGGAAAGTTTCTCGAGGAAAGTTTCAGAACAAAATGTTAACAACCCGCAAAAATTGCAACCTTTAGCACGGCTACAAGAAACAAACACTCTCCGATGAATCTTTAGTGCGGATTTTTCCAAGGTATCGTAAATTTTTATTGCTGATACGATACGCGATGCATGACTTTCACTTTCCACACCTTAATTTGCTCACATCGTCTAGTATACAACGCCAAGCTTACATTTTAGACGTCCATGTTCGTTGCACGACTTCTGAAACTTTCTACAGAGTGAAAATTTCCGTTGCACGGGCCACGCAACTACGTCGATTGATCGTG